CCTGGGATTCAAAAGGGCTCCCCTTTTGGTAGTGGGTACTTCTATAGGTCAGGAACCTAAGTCTAAGACCTCAAACAGGGAACGACAAGGGCGCACCCGGAGACCTAGTAAAGACTGGTAGACCCCCCCCCCATAACAGTCAAAGGCAGGACAACCGAAAAACAACAAGCAACAAAAGCCGAGTAAGGTTGGGTTTAGCCTTTAGGGTCCGTCCTTGTCCTCTTCATCTGCCGGTTTTGCTTCTTCCTGTGGGATCTTCTGGCAGGCTAGTGGATTCTGGGTGAAAGTATGAACATGGGGATGTTGTAGGGCTCGTTTTTGGGTTCAGGGTGTTAAGTTCTGATTTGGGCACAAGGACCCTCAGGGGTAATACAGGGGCCCTAATACTTAGAATAGGGTATGGGGGGTATATTATAGTATGACTATAATAAAGAATCCCAAACATAGTATAGGTAATTATTAAGGCCCCTATATTACAAAGGTGCACGCCAAAGCGGATTGGATCTCGTCGCTCCTGGCATGAAGGTCCCAGACCTTCCGATGTCCCTTAACTAAGGAGCATGCCTTAAAGTTATAATGGGATCCCTAAAATGATTCAAGGTATATTCTTAATCCAGGGATTTTGGGGAGGTCTGGGGGAGGTCTAACCGTCTAACCTATACATATATATATATATATAGAGAGAGAGAGAGAAAGAGAGAGAGAGAGAGTTCTCCATTGTTGTTCCATATTGCCGCAATGAAGATTGTAATTTAGTAAAAAAAACCTTAACACTTTCTCTCCCACTCTATAGCAACCCTTACAGTTTACAGGAACCTTTAAAGGAACCCGATAGCTAACCCTTCAAAAAACCCTAATCCCTTGAAGGAATCCGAGCCCCTAAACCCTAAACCCTAAACCCTAAACCCTAAACCCTAAACCCACCCCAAACCGGAGGCTTCTGAGCTTTCGGAGCCTCGAGAGCCCCAGAATCCAAACAAAGCGGCGAACATCCGACCAGCGATCGGAGACGTTACTGTACGGTTTAGAGTTTAGGGTTTAGGGTTTAGGGCTTATAGGGTTTAGGGTTTAGGGTTTAGGGTTTTTTTAGGGCTTAGGATACTTATTGCCACAAGGCCCCTCCCTACCCCCCACCCCCCCACCTCCATGGAGCCCCAAACCATAAAACAATACGCATGAAGCCAGAAACCTTGAGCCCTAAATGTAGTGTAGGGGCCTTAATACTTAGGATGGAGTTTTGGACCCAATATATTATAACTATAATAAGGAACCGCCCAAAAATATTTAGGCCCCGATATTCGATCCTGATAAAATCAAATTCAATTCCCCTCCTCTTGCATAGTAGGGCTCCTGATAGTCCAAAAACTAGGGCCTTTAGAGAAAGGGGTCTATCAATCAGGGGTTTAGGGTTTAGGGTTTGGGGGTTTCGGAGTTTAGGGTTTAGGGTTGAGGGATCTACATTCAACCCGAAAGCCTGTATACTTCAACTCAAATCAGACTCCCTTCAACACCTCTAAACTTGTACCCTAAAGCCCGGACCCACCCTATATGTCCTAACACCCCAAACACACCCTGGGCTCAATCAATCCTGTCCTGTACTCTATAGGAACACTCTAACATCCCTTGTACAACCCCTTGAAGGAACACTCAAAGAAACCCTAAACCAATAAAGCCCTAAAGCCCTACAGATCCCTTGCAGAATCCCCTTGAAGGAACCCATAAGCCCTAAACCCCACAGATGCCTTGTAGAACCTTCTTAAATGAACCCCGAATCCCTAAAGCCGTAAGCCCCATGCACACCCTACACCCCTGAACCCTAAACCCTAAACCCTAAACCCTAAACCCTAAACCCTAAACCCTAAACCTTAAACCCTAAACCCTAAACCCTAAACCCCACTCCTCTGCTTCCTCCTGAGCCTCGGCTTCCCTTTCGGCCGCCTCCTCTGCTTCCCAGGCTGCGCGACGCTCCAGGTGCTCCTTGACCTGCGTTTAGGGCTCAGGGGCTTCTTTCAGGGTTCCTTCAAAGGGGTTCTATAAGGGATCTGTAGGGTTTGGAGGCTTAGGGCTTTAGGGGTGTGAAGCTTTAGGGGTTTAGGGCTTTAGGGTTTGAGGCTTTAGGGGTTTAGCGACTGCGTTGTGGTAATCAGGCGGCCTCGAGCATTAGAACAACATGTTTGGGGCATGTTGTAATATAGTGCTACGAAGGAAATCCAGGAACGGATATTGATAGCTATTCAGGCCCCTCTGAGGCCCCTCTGATGGAACGAAGAAGACGCAGCATCTTTTGTGGCTAGCTCTAACAAACCTAGTTAAACTTGCCAGGCGCTAAGCAAATCCAACACTAGTTGCGGCGGCCCTCAAACCGATGTTCTTCTCACTGGTTAAAGGAACCTTAACGGAACCTTTGTCAACCTTTGAACTAGCTCTTCCTTAAAGTAGCCCTTTAATGGCTTTGAGTTTACGAGCTACGGGCCTCAGCTTCTTTCGCTGGGATCGCTGCCTTGACCTTTGCGATGTGGTTTTCTATGTCTCCCAGCCGCTCAACCTGGGAAAAACGGTTCAGGGGTTTAGGTTTAGAGGTTTAGGGTTTAGGCGGTAAGGGTTTAAGGGGGCACTGGCCAAAAGCTTGACCAGTATGAGCCCGAGATATGGAGGGACAGTCATATAATCGTCATTATCGCTTGTGGCTTGCGGTCACTTTTAGTGAGTGGAGATCATCCTCCCTCAGTAAAACCGGAACACGAAGCCCGAATCATCAAGACACACTGAAGCCCCGTAACGCTCATGTAAAACATAGTACTCACATGAGCAGTTCTTCAGATCATGGCCATTTTTTGTGTCACAAAAATAGTACGGCACCCCCATAAAAATGTGAGCCGGCCCAGTCGTATGAACACCAATGTCTAGAAGTCCAGAGGAGAGGGGGGGACGTGCCAGTGGCTGAGGACCACTGGAGACAAAGACGGGTTCACCCCTTGGCCGCGCCGGCTGCTTGGTTTGGGGGTTAGGGTTTGGGTTTAGGGCTTGGGTTTAGGGTTTAGGGTTTAGGGTTTAGGGTTTAGGGTTTAGGGTTTAGGGGGCCTCGCTGCTACCATGACCCAGTGCACACTATGCACTTTTATGAGCTTTGGCATCATTCATCTTGCAGTGGACGTAATATTGACATGGCTCATACGCAAGTGGCGTCAAGCAAGCCTCATATGGCAAAGTAGCCAAGACAAAAAACAAACACAAGTAGAGAGCTTCGCAGAACAATCCTACGACAACGGCCGTGCTCAGCCAGGAGCTCACAACAGAAAACCTGAACTGCACAAACAAGAGCTCTCAAGCTCACCTGTAAGCCCTAAACTTTGGCAAAGAGACCCTGTAAGGTCAAACCTCATCAATTCGCCTATCACTCTCACCCGATCGTGACAGTCAATAAGTCTCCCTAAGCCCGTCTCCCTAAGCCCCAAAAACACTGCCGAGGCAATCCGACACTGAAAATGTATGACGACCCTTCTCATCCAAACATAGAGCCCCTCGAAAAAGAGGGCTTGTCCTTGCAACAGAGGGCCATGTCACTTGCAACCCCTAAACCCGGACCCCAAACCCTCAAACCCGAAACCCCCCAAACCCTAAAACCCTAGTTCCTAAAACTGCCTAAAACCCGAAATCATAAACTCCTAAAATCCTAAACCCCGAAACCCTAAACCCCTAAACCCTAAAGCCCTGAACCCTAACCCGATGCTCAAATGGCTGCCGAAAGGCCCAGCTCTCTGTCATCAGCGCCCCAGCCTGCTACCCGAGGATCTTATATTATGGTATATGATCGTAGATTATGGTATATTATAATATCCATTGTAGTCCCATCTTTGGTGGTTTTACCAACTTTATGTTTAAGATCATACAAGGTAGCCCGCAAAAAGGAACTACAGTGGAGACTTAAAGTAACGCATACACCCTGAAACGCCTTCTGGAAAGATAGGCCCAATGCTGTCCCTAAGCCCTAAACCCTAGCAAGGTTTCCCAACAGTTGAGACGGGAACCAAGCAAGATATGTGGTGTAATATAGGGGCCTTAATACTTAGAATAGGGTATGGGGGGGGGGATTGATACTTTAACTATAATAGAGAACCCCCAAAACCCTATTCTAATTATTAAGGCCCCTAAACCCTAAACCCTTATAGTAGCTCTTATAGAACCCTTTAAGGAACCCTCCAAAACCCTACTCTAATTAAGGGTTTAGGGTTTTGGGTTTAGGGCCCAAAGAAAGTTCAAACTTTTAGGGATAGCCCTAGTATTTAAGGCCAGACAGTTTGCAGTTCTCCTATTGGCTATCTAAGGAGTATACACCGCCTGTGAAATCAATTCTGGAACCCGGCAAATGTGTTGTGGGACAGTACCTTGTAGCTGAGTAGGGAGTTTGAAACCTAGAATCCCAAAGAGTGAGGCAAACGGTTCCCACCCTCAACCCTAAACCCCAAACCCTGAACCCTAAACCGTAAACCCTAAAGCCCAAGACTCTTGCCCAAGACAGTCCGAGACCAGACGCGACAAGCAAACGGCCTGCATCAGGATCATAGCCTGAATGTCGAGGCTTACAAGGTGTGCAGGGGGTTTTAGGGTACCAGGTTTTAAGGTTTAGGGTTTAGGGCACCAGAAACCCTCAATGAGCCCTTAATTTAGGGTTTACGGTTCGGGGCTTTAAGATTTTTGTACGAAGGGTTCCGGGTCTAGGGTTGAGGGGGGCTGGTTGATGGTGGGTGTTTGGGGTTTAGGATGAGCCCTCAATGATTGAAAATGCTCACTCAGCAAGTCGCGTGACACTGCCTTGGGCTCTGGAGTTGTTTTACGATCTTCGGGAACAGCACCAATCTCTCCGATTTAGATTGATGCGGGGCCATTCTGAACAGTGGTCCCTCCAAGGGTCCACTACACGCTAAATCCTAAACCCGAAAGACCAACCCAAAACCCCTCATAGCCAAGTTCCCCCTTTAACCTACACCCAAAAATATCGGAATAATTACTACACTAAACATAATAAGCCCTTTATTTAGCCGGATCTTCTTTCGGCGGCGAACTAGTCTTCAAACGGGTACTTGAAAGTGGAAAGCCAGACTACAGCAAGCCGTGCAGACGGTGCATCCCAGACGGTCGTGCAACAAGAAACATAATTTGGGGTTCCTTTAGGGGCTCTTCAGACGAATTCTATAAGAAGGCTAACCATAAACCCTAAAGCCCCATAAACGGTTGTAAATATGAGAAACCCTAAACCCTAAACCCTTAACTCCCTTAAACGGTTCTATATGAGAAACCCGAAACTCTAAAGCCCAAACCCCCATAAAGGTTCTATATGAGGGCCCCTCAGGATTTCAGGGTTCTCTATTGGGGCTCCAGAGGGGTTTCTAGAAGTTGCCCCTTCCTTGTGGGAAGAGGATGTTTGGATAGGGTGTAGAGTCTAGAGTTTAGGGTTTAGGGCTTATACTCGAAAACCCGAAGGGGGGATTTTACGACCGAAGCTCCCTATCAGGGCTCAGATGTCGATTGGGTTTTTCGGCGCACGCGTTTGCACAAAACAGACTTGGATGCTGTGGGGCCTGAATAATTGGAATAGGATTTTTGGGGCATATTGTCTGTACTAGAGCTACAATTATAACACGGAATCCCCAAAATCATATTAGTAAATATTTACGCCCCTATATTACATGTGCCTGCGGCCACCTTTGTGGACTCAGATTCGAGTCTTTCAGGCTTTGGTGGGAGGTCTATGTCAAAGCTGGTGATACCACAATCACAACGTAGTAGTACTAGTAGTAGTAGTAGTAGTAGTAGTAGTAGTAGTAGTAGTAGTTTTAGTAATAGTAGTAGTAGTAGCAGTAGTAGTAGTAGTAGTAGTAGTAATAGCAGTAGTAGTAGTAGTAGTAGTAGTAGTAGTAGTAGTAGTAGTAATAGTAGGAGGAGGAGTAGTAGTCGTCGTCGTAGTAGTAGTAGTACTCGTAGTCGTAGTCGTAGCCGTAATAGTAGTCGTAGTCGTAGTCCTAGTCGAAGTCATAGTCGTAGTCGTAGTCGTAGTCGTCGTCGTCGTCGTCGTCGTCGTCGTCGTCGTCGTAGTAGTAGTAGTAGTAATAGTAGTAGTCGTAGTAGTGGTGGTAGTAGTAGTAGTAGTAGCAGGAGTAGT